CAGCTCAGAGGGGGCCTGGAGAAAGGCACCTTTTTGCTCAGTGATACACAAAGCTGAGTGGTCCCTCTGAGCCCAGAGAATCTGAGGCCTCGCCTCTAGCCCTCACTCTGGCCACCCAGTTCAGGTTGGCCTGGGGCTCCAGGGAAGAGTGAAATGCTACATGGCCAGCCGGCCTTCTTGTGCCATTCTTTGGCTGATACTGACCAAGAGCAAATATAAGCCCTTTAGGTAAAGTCCAGTTTTACACAGATAACAACCTTCACCCCTTTAAGTCTTCCACAACTGAACTTCAGTTTTGAGGGGAAGGCCAAAAGGGGAATCTCCTAAAGAAACTTCCCAACCTTCCTGCAAACTCTTTGGGGGACACAGGCTAAAAATGAACATGAACCTCAAGAGTTAACATCCTCCTAGATGTTCCTCATGCTCCCTTCCTTTTCCAGAATCTAAGCCCTAGAGGACTCTTTTCTGGAGGCATCTAAGAAACCCGTTAAAGAATAAACAGACCTCCCCTTCCTTCCCAATCAAGCCAGAACGGCCCCACAGCTCTGCTGGGGATGCTATGGAAACTGCTTCTGGCCTCAACTCCCCAGGGAGGGCGGGAGCCTTGGGGTTTGCTCAGTGGCACAGTCCCAGGTCTGTTAGCAGTCATTGGTTCTCTTGCCTCAGCTATATTTAGCTTTGTTTGACTCTCTTCCATGGGAACACAACTGCATTCATCTTGCTTTTCCCAGCCCTCCATTTATAACAACTCATCACCAAGAACCTGAGTCCCAGATAAAATGAGCAGGATATGATCCTGGTTTATAAACATCAACAAAGAGAAAGCCCCTTTGACAAAAATGGACCCCATCCATTCCTGGAAATGTGTTCCCTTTCCACCTCCAGATCCTAAGATGCTGTCAAACTCACTCCTGGTTTTACTTTCATTTATCTGGCTTCCCCACCCCAGCCTAGAATATCCCTCTATCGTTGTCAAGCTTGCCTGACTTTGAAAGTTTTGACTTAAACCTCCCCTGATGACTAGAGCCCCCTCTGCCCTTTCTCTTTACTGAAACTCTCACGGCAATTGTAGTTTGTATCATTCCATTGATTTAGGAAATAATATTGGAATTATTATTCCCTCTCCCTGAGCATACAGAATGTGACCCAGCTGGAGCTGGGCTCACAAGGACTCACAAGGACACATCAACTGGGCCCTGAGGTATAAAGACAATAGCTAAAATAATCTTGGAAAACATCTTTTAGGGAAACTCTCACATAAAGCCCATCAAACACAACACAAAAGACTTTCCACTCTTCTCTTTTTCTATTAGCATTTAGTGAATAGAAATTTTTTGGACCAGTGAAGACCCTCCTGACTCTCATTACTGAAACCTGTACCAATGATTATTAAGAAAGACAATTCAAAATGTAGGATCACAGTTTCTAGCCAATCTCTGAAAAGACTAAGCTTTCAGTGGTTTTGCCCATTTGTAATGTCAATATATACTGATGGCTCTGTAACTGCTCTTTGGACTCCAGCAGACATGGCTCTGTCCACATGTTTGTCCATTTCCCACTTCTGCCCTTTCTGAACATATGCCGAATAAAACTCTTTTTGCTTTACTAACCTTTGTGACGTTTTTCCCCTACAACACCATTTAGCACTTAATTTTGACTTGTATTTGCTTGGAAACTGCTTTATGCTTATTTGTTTCAGCTTCCTAACAAGACAGTTCCTAACAGAACAGCAGCAGCAGCAATTGTTTACCTGTGCTGACTCTGTGTCAAATATTGTTCCAAGAGCCTTCTATGTAATAACAATTAACATATTGTTAATAACAATTAACAATTAATAACATTAACATATTGTTATTCCCCCAATACCCCCACGTATCTGTCAGTTTGTCGTACTGTGGGGGCTTGCGTGTTGCTCTGATGCTGGAAGCTATGCCACTGATACTCAAATACCAGCAGGATCACCCGTGGTGGACAGGTTTCAGCTGAGCTTCCAGACTAAGACAGGCTAGGAAGAAGGACTTGGTAGTCTACTTCTGAAAAGAATTAGCCAGTGAAAACCTTATGAATAGCAGTGGAACATTGTCTGATACAGTGTCGAAAGATGAGCCCCTCAGGTTGGAAGGCACTCAAAAGACAACTGAGGAAAAGCTGCCTCCTCAAAGTAGAGTCAACCTTAATGACGTGGATGGATTCAGGCTTTTAGGACCTTCATTTGCTGATGTGGCATGACTCAAAATGAGAAGAAACAGCTGCAAATGTGGAATGTACGAATTACGAATCTATGAAAATTGGAAATCGTCAAAAAATGAAATGGAATGCTTAAACATCAATATCCTAGGCATTAGTGAGATGAAATGGACTGGTATTGGTCATTTTGAATCAGACAATCATATTGTCTACTGTGCCAGGAATGACAGCTTGAAGAGGAATGGTATCACATTCATTGTCAAAAAGAACATTTCAAGATCTATCCTGAAGTACAATGCTGTCAGTGACAGGATAATATCTATACACCTACAGGGAAGACCAGTTAAAACGACTATTATTCCAATTTACACACCAACCACTAATGTCCAAGATGAAGAAATTCAAGATGGTTACCAATTTCTACAGCCTGAAATTGATCAAACACGCAATCAGGATGCATTGATAATTACTAGTGACTGGAATGCGAAAGTTGGAAATAAAAGAAAAGGATCAGTAGCTGGAAAATATGGCCTTGGTGACAGAAACAATGCTGGAATTGCATGAGAGAATTTTGCAAGACCAATGACTTCTTCATTGCAAATACCTTTTTCCAACAACATAAATGTCGACTATACATGTGGATCTCACTGGATGGAATACACAGGAATCAAACTGACTATATCTGTGGAAAGAGATGATGGAAAAGCTCAATATCATCAGTCAGAACAAGGCCAGGGGCCGACTACTGAACAGATCATCAATTGCTCATATGCAAGTTCAAAGTGAAGCTGAAGAAAATCAGAACAAATCCACGAGAGCCAAAGTACAGCCTTGAGTATATCCTACATGAATTTAGAGACCATCTCAAGAATAGACTTGATACATCGAACACTAATGACCGAAGACCAGGTGAGCTGTGGAATGACATCAAAGATAACATACACGAAGAAAGTAAGAGGTCATTAAAAAGACAGGAAAGAAAGAAAAGACCAAAATGGATGTCAGAAGACACTTTGAAACTTGCTCTTGAATGTAGAACAGATAAAACGAATGGAAGAAATGATGAAGTAAAAGAGCTGAACAGAAGCTTTCAAAGGGTGGCTCAAAAAGACAAAGTAAAGTATTATAATGACATGTGCAAAGAGCTGGAGATAGAAAACCAAAAGGGAAGAACATGTTCAGCATTTCTCAAGCTGAACGAACTGAAGAAAAAATTCAAGCCTCGAGTTGCAATACTGAAGGATTCTACAGGGTAAATATAAAATGACATAGGAAGCATCAAAAGAAGATGGAAAGAATACACAGAGTTACTGTACCGAAGAGAACTGGTCAACATTCATCCATTTCAGAAGGCAGCATATAATCAGGAACCGATGGTACTGAAGGAAGAGGTCCCAAGCTGCACTGAAGGCACTGGCGAAAAACAAGGCTCCAGGAATTGATGGAATATCAATTGAGATATTTCAACAAACGGATGCAGCACTAGAAGTGCTCGCTTGCCTATGCCAAGATATTTGGAAGACAGCTACCTGGCCAGCCAACTGGAAGAGATCCATATTTATGCCTATTCCAAACAAAGGTGATCCAACCAAATGTGGAAATTATTGAATAATATCATTAACATCTCACGCAAGTAAAATTTCGCTGAAGATCATTCAAAAGCGATTGCAGCAGTACGTCAACAGGGAACCACCAGAAATTCAAGCCAGATTCAGAAGACAACATTGAACCAGAGATATCACTGCTGATGTCAGATGGATCCTGGCTGAAATCAGAGAACACCAGAAAGATGTTTACCTGTGTTTTTTTGACTATGCAAAGGCACGACTGTGTGGATCATAACAAATGGGAATTCCAGAACACTTAATTGTGCTCATGAGGAACCTGGACATAGATTAAGAGGCAGACATTCGAACAGAACAAAGGAATACTCCGTGGTTTAAAGTGAGAGAAGGTGTACGTCATACCTATTCAATCTGTATGCTGAGCAAATAATCCGAGAAGCTAGACACGGAATGAAAAATTCTGTCTGTGAATAAACCAACCAAATTCGTTGCCGTCGAGTTGATTCTGACTCACAGTGACCCTACAGGACAGAGTAGAACTGCTCCATAGGGTTTCCAAGGAGCGGCTGGTGAATTCTAACTGCTGACCTTTTGGTTAGCTGCCATAGCTCTTAACCACTGCGCCACCAGGGCTCCTGTATGTGAATATATGCATTTTTTTTTTTGAGAATCCTTTTTTTTTTTTGAGTAATTATAGCTTTCACTGGATTCTTGAAGACAAAGTGTCATCCAAAACTTAAGAACTACTGAATGGAAGAAGCTACCATAAATAAAATAAAGTGACAATAAGTGGGAAAGAAAAATTGTAACATATAGGATAAAAGGCCACATGCCTTAATACATAGGGAGGTTTTACAAATCAATAAAAGATAAACAATCCAATAGAAAAATGGGCAAAGAGTAAGCAGCAGCAGTTCTTAGGGGGAAAAAAAAACAATCCCACAAATGGGCAATAAATGTGAAAAGATGCACAACCTCACTAATAATTAAAGAAAAGCAAAGTAACATATGATACCATTGTTCACCTATTAGATTTGCAAAATTTAAAAGAGTAACAATACCTAGCGTGGGTGATGGAGCCCTGGTGGCGTAGTGTTTAAGAACTCAGCTGCTAACCAAAAGGCTGGCAGTTCAAATCCACCAGCCACTCCTTGGAAACCCTATGGGGCAGTTCTACTCTGTCCTGTAGGGTCACTCTGAGTCAGAATTGACTTGATGGCAACCGGTTTTTTTTTTTTTTAATGGTGGCTGTATAAATTGGAGAGAAACCTGGCAACCAGCTATCCTAGAATTAAATGCACGTATCATCAAAACCAGCAATTCCCCTTTTCAACCTACTTGCACAAATGTAAAAAGATGTATGTACGTGGATGTCCACTGCAGCACAGCAAAAACCTACACATCAGTAATAGTTTAATAACTATATTAAGGTTCCTCTACACGGTGGGATCCTCTGTAGTCAACTGGAAGGAGAATAAACCATTATGCACTGACTTGATAAGCTGTTCATTACACATTTAGTGAAATTTGCCAAGGAGTCGAATTGTGTACAACCAGTATATGCCTACATGCACACATGAGTGTGTGCGTGTACATGTACATAAATATATATACATATAAATACATGTATTTGTTTTCATATGCATAGAAAGTGTGCAGAAGGAAACACGCCAACTACTAAGAGCAATTACTTCTGGGAAGAGAGATTTTTTGAAGAGCAGAAGGCATGGGAGACTCACTTTTTGCTCTATAAATTCTGAACTAATTTTAAAAATTAACATTAATAACTTTTAATAAGTAGTAGTACTAAAAGTACTAATAAAAGTTTTAAAATATAAGTAAAACATCTCAACATGGGCAGACCATGTTGAGAAAACCGCAACAGTAAGGAGTGTAGTTGCTAAAGAATTCACTACAGACATAGTTACAACTAATTCATGGCCAAGAACTATGCTGTATTTAGCAAGCGTGGGTCATGGTTTTCCAGCTAGGATGAGACACCATGGACAACCAGGATGCCCCATGTGGTAGCAGACTCACTCGTCTTGTACAGTATACCCAGAGATGGGTGGCATCCAGTGGACTGTGAGGCCAAGGCCATCCCAAATAGTACCGGCTCTACAAAAAAGAACAGCAGCTGCAGGCCCAAGGACAGGTCCAACACAGATATAGTGTCCAAGTGGCACTGGGCCTCACAGCCCCCAAGGTCACATCTGCATACAGAAAGCATCACCGTAGGAACTGCCATCATCTAACACAAGGGTCAAGGACATAAGACACGGGCCCTGCAAGCTCTTCCTGAGGACAGCCTTGTACCTGTCCCTGCCCAGTCTGTCCAAATGCTTCCTCATTTTTGATAAGATGATAAAATAGCTTCCACCAAAGCCGCCAAACCAGTCATTCTGAGATCAATGCCAAATCTTACCATGGTTCTAAAAATAGCTAGAACAGTAAATCATATAAAATTTGCAAATTTATTTTTCTCTCTTTAATATTAAAACAGTATAACGACAGCATTAAAGGAAAGATTTTAACTATTTTCATTTTCCAGCCTAAATTTCTTTTCAGCAAATCGTTTAATTTCTCATTTTCCTTGAGCCAGCAAAGACACGTTTTCCCCTTATTCCTCCCTCTCCCCATCTGCACCCTGTGTGGGAGAGAATCAGCAGAACTTGAAATCCTAACACCAGCAGGAAACAGAAAACTAGCCAAAAGCAGGTAAAAGAGAAGAAAAAGCCTCATTAGAGTCCTGGGTGAATATAAATGATGTAAATACCCGTATTTTACAATCTGCTCATGTACAGGTTTAGCATTTTATTCTGATAATAGATGTACCAGACTTATAAGCTATGTCAGCCCACACTATTTATCTGACAGGAAGCAGGCCCAGGCAGATTCCTCTGCAACACAGGCTAGCTCAGTGCTGCATATAGCTGCAAGGCTATGAGAGACGATTACGGTCATTTTTATATAAGGGACAGGTGACCACACTGAGATAAAAACAGCTATTTCTGAACTTTGAGGTAAAAAATTATGTATTTATAACTAGAGTTAATCTCAAGATAATTATATTCTATTTGGGCTTTTCTGTCTGCTGGTTAAATTACCATCTCAAACATTTAAAAACCTTGGCTGAAAAATTAGAGAGCTAAGAATTATAAAGTGGCAACTGTCACACAAAGGCCCATCCCTTCCACCATTCTGTTCTTTTAAAAAGGAACATACCCAATTATTTTCTCATCTGACTCCAGCAGGCCTCCTTCTATGCCCTTCCAGCTTTCACTGGTCTAGATATTGTGTACTACAACAACAACAACAACAAAATCCAACATCTGTTTAACATTTATTTTCTTTTAATTTCTATTTATATTCTGTTTTCCAAATTTTCACTCAGATCTAATAAAAGAACTTTCAATAACTCAGTGTCAAGCTATTTCAGATACTCAATGTCATCCTTTGCTTTTCACTGCCTTCTTGATTTGGGGGAGAGAGAATAAGTTAAACTACATTTTAAAATGCTGTAATTCCTTCTGAATCATCATTAAAGCAACACTGAGGGAAGAGAGGTTATATAAAGGAAGGAAGTAGCTGTAACGGTGGAATTTAGGTTTATGTTGATGAAGCTGGTGAGAACTAGAGCTCCCAAGAATGGTCCTGAAAACTAGGCCGAGGCTTTTGCTCCCTCCTTATCATCAATCATACCCTTGCTGTCAAGACGATTCCGACTCATAGAGACCCTACAGGACAGAGCAGAACTGCCCCGTAGGGTTTCCAAGGAGCAGCTAGTGGATTCGAATTGCAGATCTTTTGTTTAGCAGCGGTAGCTCTTAACCACTGTGCCACCAGGGCTCCTCCTTATCAACATGAAACTACAGAAATCTGTAACTGTCTTTCTGACTTATTCTCAAGTCAGCTTTTGTTTTAGCTGGACTGTTTGTAAACAGACGAAGTACAGAATGCCTATTGCTCAAGCAAGGACAATTTCTACATGGCCTGATTCAGGTTGAGGATTACTTTTATTTTGCCCCACATTTCTTGAACTCAAAACAAGTGGTTTTAACCTAGGTCACAGAGGTAGAAAACCTAGTTGGCTCAGCTGGGACCCTCAGACCAGCATCCTCCTTCTTGGTCCTTTCCCCACAGGCTGTTAGGGGTGGGTACCGCTCTTCTCGTAGGCCCGAGGGAGGGGTCCTGTACATGTTCCTTGCAAAAATTTACAAAAATAACTTAGTCCCAGAAAATCTGATAACATCAAATTACCATACTTTCTTAGGGGTAATATAAACTGATTCACCTTTTCCAGAGAGCAATTTGGCAATGTTTATTAAAGTCTTAAAAAACGCGTGTACTTCACCTACAGGAACTTACTCAAGACAAGCCCACTCATCTCCCAGTTTTAGCCTTTTCTCTGTGATCTCTGTATGTTAGGTGCATGGGCCATTTAACTGTTCTTGGTGTGTTTCTGTATTTCACAACAGACTATAAAAGAGATATACTCCCTTTGTAATAAAAAATCACCAGTCAATATCAAACACATACAAACAGACCCTGTCCAAAACATGCATTCAAAACTGTTTAGTGTTAAATGCAGGGACCACCTTCAACAACTGATTTCTTTATACTGGAAAACTCAATATAAATTAAAAGTAGTTTTTACAACTACCTAGAGTTTGGGGATATAATAAAAATAAAATGCTGGCAAAAGCCCACGCCCACTTTTGCAGCTATTACTTTTATAGGATGGCCTAAAAGAGCTTCAAATGACAATGGTTTCCTCTCCCTGTGACTCACGGGTGTTCTTTCATGCTTTCACAGATTTTCATGGGATATGTGAGTCCATGGAGCCCCGGTGGCGCAGTGGTTAAGACCTCAGCTGCTAACCAAGAGGTCGACAGTTTGAATCCACCAGCCATTCTTTGGAAATCCTATGGGGGCAGTTCTACTCTGCCCTACAGGGTCGCTATGGGTGGGAATCGACTTGATGGCAACAGTTTTTTTTGTGTGAGTCAGTATCAATGTGGTAGCTAGAATTCTTCCTTCCAAGGACATCTGGAATCCCACTATCTGATGAGATATTCTTTTCCTCCATTTTACAGCAGAGATATTATCGAAATTCTCCTGGATCACATGGTGGTAGCCCTGGGAACAGAAAGCAAGTTTTAAACGTTCTTTGGTCAAACCGCATGCCTTTTCTAAATCTGTTCACAGTACTGTTTCAAGATGCTTTCTGAAGGGCCCACAGGGGTGACATTTAAAACCTTCCGGTCATTGTTTGCTAACTGTTGCGGTGGTTTTAATCAGGGAGGTAGCTAGTATTTTCAGCTTAGGTGTTGGAAGAGTTCCTAAAATGTCTACAAACTGACTTAGGAGAAACTGCTTGACAGAAGAGGCCTTATTCCTGCTCTGCAATAAACCTATGAGAACTGACACATCCTGCAACCGCAGACCAAGAGAACCACAGTTTTTAAACACATTACATTACCTCCCAAAGGCACCTGAGGTTTCCACACATCATCAGTATCAATGACAAAACCTGCCCACCAAGGAGCACAGCCTCAGTACATTAATTTAATCTCCTCCTCTTGGGATACTCTTGGTGCTCGTCGTAACTTCTCTACTTGAACCTAGTTTTCATTACACTAGATTTCTTGAGGAAGTTTTCTTGGAGAGGTTTTGTTTGATGACTCAGGTACAATGTTCTGAAGTAAAAGAACCACATCACCTCAGAAAACATTTCCAACCCCTACAATTCTGACACTTGAGGCATGTTCAGTTGTAGGTTCCAGAAAAGCCTAAGTCTCTCAGTAGCTGAGATCAAATCAGACCCCTCCCCAAGTCAGAACTATTTCAAATGCCTGAGTCAGTTCAAGAAGCATCTCAGGTTGTACTAGGCTCAGGTAAACCTTGTCTGGGTTAGGCAGACTCTCCTAGGCCTCAGCTCAGGACGCACGGCCTTCTAGGTCAGCATTGCATTTGCCCAGCTCAAATGTTTTCTTCTTCCTTTTCTAATGCTTACATGATTTATCATGTATAAATTCCTAAAATCCCACCCAAGAACAAACCACCGTAGCAAGGGTTTCCAAAGTTGTGGTTCTGAACCCATTGCATCAGAGCCATTTGAGGTGCTTGTTAAAAGAACACATTCCTGGACCCCACTCCAGTCCTAATGAACCAAACTTTCTGGGGATACAGCCCTAGGAGTCCGCTTTTTAAAAAAATTTTAAGCTTTTACAAGTGCCCCTGGTGATTCTTATGCATGGTAAAGTATGAAAACCCCTGCACTGGCCCAACTCTAAGAGTAAATGAAAGGGAGAGAGAAAGAAATCCCAGCAAGCAGGCAGGCAAGATCTGAATTTGAGGATTTAATACCAATGGGGAAACAAGATTTAAAAGGTCAGTGGGGAGGAAATATGGACACCTTTGCTTCAACTCCAACTCCTTCCTACATCATCTTCAGTTAGGCTGGCTGCATCAGTGTGCTGATACTTTCTTCTACTTCTGAGAGCTTCTTCAGGATGTGGTTGACCTTGACCTCATCAACTTCCAAACACAGAAATTCAGATTCCTGGAAAACATAAAAGGATGTTTGAGAGGGGACCCCAGAGACAGCCAAGGCTCTGCATCTGGCATGACCCAGTTCCAAAGGTCCAAGGCCCCTACTCAGCAAACCTGGCTCAGACCTCAACTCCTCAAATGCATCCTTGATATTTTACCCAACAAAGCAGCTCCACAACAATGCCCTAAATGAAACCACTTTTATGAAGATATTTCATAAACAGTCAAGAGGTATACAAATGCCAGGTGTTCTCATTATGTGGATGTAAGAAGCTCTTCACACTTGTCATCTCATTTGATCCTATAATAATTTTTTAACTTTTGAAAAAATAATATTTTACCGTGTTTAAGGTGAAAGTTTACAGAGCATATTAGGTTCCCATTTAATAATTTCTAGACAAATTATTCAGTGATATTGGTTACATTTTTCACAATGTGTCACCATTCTCATTCACTCTATTCTGGTTGTACCATTTCAGATCCTAAAATAATTTTTAAGATAAGTACTTAATTATTGCCATTTTATAGCTGAAGACCCTGAGGTACAGAGAGAGAGGTTAACTTGTATCACAAAATCAGAAAAAGGAAGAGTCAGGTTGTGAGATCCCAGCTCTGGCTGACTCCAAAGCCCATGCTGTCTCCATAGCGCCCAGTAGGATAGCAATGGAACGAAGACTTGGATAGACTCTGAGATAGCCTGGGAATTGGATGAATTTGAAGTTAGTTACCCAGAAATTGTGCCAGACTGTCACAAGATGCTTGGGAAATATCAACCAGATAATTACTAAACAATGATCTTGAGACAACAACAAACATTTCTGGAGCCTTTCTACTTGCTGCAGGCCACCCCTCCCAAGATCATCTCTCAATGCGTTTCCTTCAGTCACTGTTTTCCTATTGTATACTATGATCGATTAATCCTAAATTAGGGAGACATCAAAGAATAAGGACTTTGAGTGTGGTGGCAGAAATTCCATGCACACTGGAGAAACCACTGGTCCACAATATCTAGACAGCCAAGGGCAGATTATATATATTCAAGAGTAGCTATAGTCAAGATTCTCAAGAACATTAATCAAATAATTTTAGAGCAGTATAAATCCTGGTGGTGCAGTGGTTAAGAGCTATGGCAGCTAATCAAAAGGTCGGCAGTTCGAATCCACCAGGTTCCTTGGAAACCCTAGGGACTAGTTCTGCTCTGTCCTGAAGGGTCGCTATGAGTCGGAATCGACCCAACAGCAACGGGTTTGTTTTTATATTTTTTATGAATCCTTAGAGATCATATAATCCAACTACCTTGTTTTCTAAATAATGAAATTGAGACCCCAGGCATGTTAAATGACCCACCTAATGTTTGCTGATGGCAGAGCTACCAGGCCAAAGCTCTTTTCTCTATATTTACCTCTCTAAATACTACAGCTTCCCCTCCACCCCCTCCCCAAAGTGGCAGGTAAAGAAAGGTCAAGGAGTCTCTTCAGAGGTAAGAATTCACTCTGCCCTCGGCTGGAAGAAGTGCATTTTGTAGAAGTACTTTTGCTGCTGCTAGGCTGCTGTTCTGAGTGGACAGTGATCCCACTGAATGCCCCGGGAGAAGCAAGTGCAGAGGGAAAACAGGGACCTCCTGGGTGAAAGGCTTCCAAAGGGAGGGAAGGCAGCTTTCTCCACCCACAGGGAACCCTCTTTTCAAACACAGATTTGGATAGAAGAGGAGTGTGGTCTCATATGTGAGCTTGGAAACTCTGCCAAGTTTGCATTTAGTCCAAAGCAAAAACCAGTTCTAAACGAAGAAAGAATACTAATAATGGAAGTTTCCTGTGCTCAAGCTACAGGAGGGGTTATCTCCCTTTGGAAAGAAGAGCAAATTTATGGCCAATTAGGCAGTTGAGCTGGTTAAATTAAGAACAGGTCTCAGATTTGAAAGTGTCTTATTCTTTGTTCAGTTTTATTAAGATCTGTAGCCTAACTTTAAAACTTTTTTTTAACATTTGGCCTTTGAAACAATGGTCCAAAACTAAACATTACCAAAGTCTAACAAATATATTCAGAAAATTGGCTGAAAACATGATGTAATCAGTGTTTCATCTCAATTAAGGAAAGTCAGCTACAACAAGACATGATCCTGTTTTCTATTTATATGGGAAGGAAATCACCAAGGACAATCTTCATAGAGAGAGGAATGCCTGAGCAGGGTGTGTCAATGAACAATCAGGATCTTTTCTGATGGGGGAACCATTAGTTTGTTGCAGGTTTAAGTACTTAAATTGGACCTCCAAGTATTAATGAAGCTCAGTTTATTTTTAAAGGAGAACAAATACTAGAAAGAAATAACAGGCTGTATAAAGGAAGTCCAAAGTTAAACATATATTTTCCCTCCACTCTCAACTCTCACTTCTCTTCCCTGGAAACAATGCACACAGCCTTAGAAGACACATGGAGTCATTCCTCAGAAGACACATGGAGTCATTCCTCAGAAGACACATGAAGTCATGCCTCAGAAGACACATG